ATCAATGCTATAATTAATTCATTTTTGTCTCTGCTCTGCTTCTATTATTCACTAAATTCAGCATAATTATTGCTCACTATCACTTCCGCCTCGACTCATTCATCTGCTGGGCTATTTTCGGTCAGCAATTACATCGACTAGTATTGACTCGTTTGTTGTCAATAATTAGCTACTTGATAAATAAATTATCATCAATCGGTAATTATTATAATGTTCAAAAAGGTCAACTGTCCATATTACTGGTTAGTTTTTGCATGCAACAAAGCTAAAATATATCAAAAAAACAAGACATTCTGAATTTCAAGAAAAGTTGTTTATATGCTGCACTCACATTCGACTAGATAACACTTTTTAGCCAACTCGTTTTCCATTCTAAAACAATTAATTAATGCAGATCGCATAATTTCGCTGCACACTTTTTACACGATTCTCTTAAATATTTAGCACGAAAAATACTAAAGAGCGAATTTCGGTCGAAAAAGAAATGCTATTCTCAAAAGTTTCAATATTTGTTTATATGAAAAATAGAATGCAACGGCACTTTTTATTATACGTAAAAAGCAACACGCTATTTCACTCAACAAAATCAAGAACTTATGAACTTTTCTGTCCATTACCAAACATACCTTAATATCTTATCATCGCACGTACTGATAAGATAAGATACGAGATCAAAGTCCAAACTTACCGATTAAATTTAGAAAAAATTCTTGGATATTGTTTTTGGAGCACATGTTCAACCATGGTTTGAAATCCAAACATTTTGAAATGCACTTGAACTACCTAAAATTGTATTTGTTACTAAGAATTAATTTGTTGCCTGGAATGCATATTTATGATGACTTGTTTGAAAGAAGAAATGAAATATTTTTATACAAACTCCATCATTACTGCGTAATTTTTTGAATGCAGTTGGGATTTAAGTCAAATTTGCAAATAGTTAATTTCATATTTTTATACTTTATTATGTTTACTTATGCTCATGCATAGATTAACCGGAACTGCTACTGATACTCATAAATTGGAATTCTAAGATATTATAATGAGCAAAAAGCAAACTTTGTAACAACACATAATGGGTTTAGTTGTCTGAATCCAATCTTTGCATAGTTTCGCACGACCTGTTTTCTTGGATTTAAATTCATGTACGTCTGTTTCAGGCGTTACATCCTGAAACACTTTCATACAAATTGTACGTTTGCATGTTGAGTATAAGACTTTATAAATTTATAAATTTTCCTGTGAATGCTATAAATTTATAGGCAAGCAAACCCTCATTTTTAAAAGTAATTCTAATAAAAAAACAGCTTTTATGTCTTGAACTAATTCCAATGATTTTCATAAAATAATTAGAGTAATGCCAAAAGTCAACTTGCAATGGCTCACCGTTCTTTTCAATAGACTATCATCATAAATATCAATAATAATTACTTCACGCTTCTTCATCAACGTCGGACTTAAATTCAACGCCTTAAAATTGTCCTCTTTAAAAGTTTGTGGTTTATTGGTTTTTCTTGAAGTGTAATTTTAATTACTGAAATGTTAGCTGCAGGTTTTGCAGTAATGAAAGGTACTCCTGAAAAAGCTTTATTTTGGCTCTTAAAATTAAAAATACTCATTCATAAACAGAGAGTATAATTAATTTTAACAAGTTAAACTAATACGAGCGAAAAATTCTTACGTTTTCAGTATCTCCTCTGTCTGGTAGATGCATTGATTCAATAGAGATATAGAAGTCATCCTTCATATAGTCTGGATTCTGAAAATCATGCATTTATTTTAAAAAATCATACAAAATTTGTCTACACAATGAAGACAAGACAAATAGTCAAAAACTACGCACGATGGATGTAGTAGCTTAACAAGTAATGTGCAATAATTAGTACTATTTGTAACTTTATATAAGTGTAAATTTATTAAGTATTTGATAAATTTATCAGTAGGAAATGAATCAGTGCTAATTATCTTTGGAATTTAGATCACAAGACTGAGCATTCTCCACCGTGCATTACGTCAATGTGATATTATTATCGTCACGTGAACGTGCTATTGTTTTTATAGCTTCAACGGATCATGCTTTTTCCATTATCTTTTCCAGTTTTTTCGATAATAAACATTGTAGATTACAGAAACGGTTATCCAGTATATATGTTACCATCAAAGTATGTAAACAACGCTGCAAAATATCAATGAACTAACTAACTTTAATCACAGTTTTGCAATATGGAAAAGCATTCCAACACTCTTCATGTAAAATAAACGCTGTATCGGGAAAGATTTTACGTAATGCCCACGGCGATTTTGATTTGGTACGATAAATTTTATGTGTGTAAATACCAGTGATGCTGTAGCCTGGGCGTACAGTGGTACTAGTAAAATCTTCATTTTCTAATACCTAAAAAGTTTATTAATATCCAACGAAACAATAGCAGGCAATGTCTTCTGAATAAAGGCCCATGTGTAAGTGGCCATGCTAATTGCAGTGCCTCGTTCAATAAAATGCATTAAAACTAAGATTGAAGCTTTGTACCAAAATGCACTCTTGAATTTCAGTTTTACTGTTCTGACAACTTTGGTATAGCTTATAATTTACAGTAACAAATATGATAATAGCAAGCACCACATTTGAGTGCATAATCTCAGATTTAGTCAATCTACTATTTAACTATTTTATTCGATAAATTATGCAAAGAGAACTTATAAGTCAGTAAGTCAGTGATTCAAAATTAATTCTACGAAATAACGTGAAATATTTGCGCCGAAATCAAAAGTGAAAGACATTGAAAAACTGCTTGACCTCCACGCCATCACCTCCACCAGTTTCGTTCTTGCTTGTCTCAGATACCGCGAATAATTGCCCACGATAATACTCATCCATTTCAAATGGCATTAGAATGCGAAACTCCTCAAAATCTGCTCCTTCAATGTCTAATTCTGATAAATTTTGATAAGTAAAAAAGTTTCTACTTCCCAGCACTCTCTCTGTTCTCTTTTTTGCTTCGCTTTACACAATAATGAAGTTTATAACAAGGGAAATGAAATAAATTTTCAGATCAAACCCAACACTCTCAGAAGCACAATGATTGTCTCAGATACTGTCAAGTTAATAAGCTCTTCATAAGAATATCTTTATTCAACTGTTGCCATCTTTGAGCTAGTTGTGGTAAAACCGTGACAAGAATGATATACAAAAGAGTAACGATCTCGATGCAAAATTTGTGAAGTAATTTACAGTTTCCGTACAAACTTTGCAAATAACTTATGTCAAAAATTATTTCGTTATCGATGACAAGGCAATATGCTCTCTATTATAAGTGGAATATATCAAATCTGTCATGAAAAACTTCGAAAACACTCTTGGAGTAAAATGCTAGCTAAAGTCTGCAAACAGTCATTTTGATGACAAATCCTCGACATGACCTCAACGCTGCACAACACATCAAAGTAAACATATATCATGACTAAAAACAACACTATGATGAACACATAAGGATAAAACGGTGTCGAGAGGCAAAGTTCACTGCTCCCTTATCTATTATGCAAGTAGTACTCTAAACAAATCTCTTAGAAACTTTAGCTAATTGATTAGTGATAATAATCAAAATTAGTAGTGAAGAAAAGTACTGTATAGAGTGAAATAATCTTGGCATTGATGAATTTTGAAAAAAAAGTATTGTCTTCAGTCATTTTTCACTTCATAAGCTCGCAAAAATTAAGTAGTATCTCAAGTAATACTTACTTTAATGATCATTGCTAGTTGCAGGCAACGATCACGATAAATACAAGTATAAACAATGAACTCCTCCGCTTGTTTTCTTACTTTTGTATTTCTTTCTCATGCATTTACATTAACAGTCTTCTCTACCGTAATAATATAAACTTACTTCCAAGTAGCACTAATATTGTGCTCATTGTTTCCTTTAGTTCATATCCATAATAATGTTTGCTTACAACTTGCAACACACTGTAATAAAATTAAGCTCCATTAACAGACCTCTGATGTAATAACTTTCAAATTTGATAGAATTAATTATCTGTGAGTTAACCTTATGTGATAGAGATTTTAGCAAATAAATTATCAACTACTTAACTGACAGAGGAAATAAAATTTTCATTGTAGGCAGATGGAAGTAGCTTATCGAAATTTGGATTATTTAAGATGAAAAATTATCAATTAGAAGAAACAATTTCAATGGTAATAGAGTGTGCGTGACACTGTTCAGTTTTGAGGGGGGATAAGTGACTTGAACTGATATAATCTGATCTGATCTACCCTGCTGTATATTATGTTTTGCTAAAATAATCTGATCTATTTCGGTTCTTATAGCCTAATTTTATCTTTTTTTCTATTTTAGCCTCTTTGATCCTATGTATTTTTGGTTTTATAGTCTTTGACTTTCTAATCTGACTTTATTCTTCACCCCATATGTGGCAATGTCAACGGACTCCAGTTTTATTACCTTCAATTGCTCGAACATATTTGTTTCGATGGACGCATTCCAACGTCGTCAGCAAAAATTTAGGAATTGGAAACATTCGCAAGGTATGTATAATTTTAGGCCTTGAGTTCATTCTTTTTATATCAGGTAGGATAAGCACAAAAGTTTTAGCAAATTTGTGAACTTATGATTGTTCGGCGTAAATTTCTTTGTAGCAGTCATATTTTATAGGAAGCGAACATTCATTCCTTACCGAAAAAGTTGACCAGATTGCATCGATGGGACGATATGGATGAACAAAATTGGCTGATGATCTATCGAGATTTTTATGCTTCACGTTTCATAGTACTTACTACTTTGACATTGCCTGTAGTAGGCCTGCTTACATCGGAGAATTTTTTGGACGACATAAAAGCTGGAAGATTGAAGGATGCTTTCTGTAATACAACTACAATTAAACAGGTATTGTTTCATAGTTTTGATTACTATATGCTGGATTCTATGTTCTGCATATTAAGTTTCTTTCATGAATTACATTTCTGCGAATTGCTTGTATTACTTGCAGATGGGTATTTTCGCGGCGTTTCCGGCACTTGCTTTTGTACTCTTGGCACTTCTTGCACTGCGGCTTAATTTTATTCGAATTCACCGTATATATTTCAATAAACAAGATCAGAAGACATTTGTTGCTGTTGTTTCTCGCTATTGCCTTTTTACACAAAAGGTTATCGTCTTTATATCAAAATTAGTAGAGTGGATTTTGGAGTTTGACAGAATTTAAAAATGCAGTGGTTAGAAAATAATAGCGAACCAGTTATAGTGGAATTTATTTTTGTTAAAGCATAAAAAGTATTGCTTATAAAATCTAAAGCTCAGCCTCTTAAAGAAGCTTTGTTTCATCACTAATAAACAAAAAGAATTAAATACAAGGTATTTTTGGAAACAATTCTTCTGAAACAATGGATGAATCAGAAATTTAAATAGGTATCGAGATTCTACGGCAATTAAAAAAGCATACTTCACATTTTTGAACATTGATCTCTTGACATCTACATAGCCAATCTTTATCAAGATAAACATCATTTTTTTTGAATTTCGCCAAAAAAAGCTATTCATGTACTGGTATTCGGTTCTCCTTTTCGTGTGAAATCAAATTGATAAACTGTACTAGTAGTTAAGGTATTAATTGTTTAGACATGTTTCAATGTTTAAATATTAATTAAGCAACAAATGAATTGGAGAAGAAGCTAGCGTTATGAATTGTATTCAAACTTTACTATCTCCATTGATAAAACTCTGTATTTTAGTGATTTTCTCATATTTCAGGTCCCCTTCAGTCGACAAAATATCAGAATCTTGGAAAGTGCTGGGCATCGACTGTGGAGATTCTTCAAAGGCTCAATTAAAATCAACCGGCGTACGTTCGCACTAATTGATGAAAACTTCTTGGACATGAGATATTTGCATCTTCTAGCAGGACGAAGAACGGAATTTTTTAGAGCTGTTAAAGAAAGCAAATTTTAGCGTAATAAACTTAAACTATATTTTTATAGTTTGCAAGAACATAACTTCTCTGTATCACAGTTCTTCATCAGCAATCTTGTTCTATTGATACCACCTTTGTTTCATCTAATGAAATTAAAAATGCAGTTTGTTAAACCGTGATTTGAGGCACGTCAAAATTCATCAATTATTTTTTGGCATAGTGTGTGGCACAGAACTATAATTAGCCAAGTTCATATCTGTGAGATCGCTATGTGGGTCGTGAAATAGTCAGTTGTTTTTTGACTCTTAATTTCGCAGTTTCTTTACTATTACCACCATATAAAATATAACTATAAATAAAAGAAGTCGGTCGATTGGAAATGTGTGAATCTAGAAATGTTTAAAAGTTTATTCGTGAAAGAAGGAAGGGTATGAGTTTTTACGACCCTTCTGAGTATTCGATGATTAAGCAAAGGGTAAGCAACAGGAAATATTTAAAATTCGATAGTAAGTTAAATAATTAAATAATTTAGCTTGAATAATACTCGTAGATTAATGCATATCTATTAATAAATAGTGAACAAAGTAAAAACACCAGTATTTTTCAATTCCTATAAAGTATTCCTAAATGCGTATCATTGATAATATATGTTCGTAGGTCCTATGCCCGTATGTTTGACATCGCTGAAAATACCACAAAAAGCAAGAGATAATTCTTTTAGTGATAAAGACAGTTGAAGAAGAACAGTGGCCAGGGTACAGGGATTTGGTAAACAGAACAAGGTATACCATGATAAAAAAATATGCAGGTGAGAAGAGTCGTATATAAAGATAGAAAGCAAATTATAAACACAACAGAAGGCGGAAATTATGGTGCTGCATGTATTTCACTACAACATAAATGCAATTAGCTTCAATTATAATAGAATGATCGGGAAAAAAAAGAAAGAGTCGGTATCTATTAGTACCTCACTACTACGTTGTTCTCAGCCTTAATATTGAATCCGATTGGAATACTTTAATTTAGTTTCCTATGTCATACTTGCTAATATTTTTAATTAATCAGGAGATTTTTTTGTATAGAGACTACTTCATGTCAATGACATGGGTTTTACACAATGTCATACATATGGTTCATTCCCTCCCAAATGTAAGTTGTTGATTACTCAGTAAATGTGTCTCGGCGACTGCAAATCGAAAGTTTGAAATGAATCACGTAACTCTTCTAACTCTGGTGATGACAGCTGAAAAGTATGCACTTAGTCCTTCAAATAGCTAAGAAAATAATTTGCTTCTATAAAATGAAAAAGGTTCCCAACCAAATGGCACCGAACTGTTTTTGTTTAAATTAGAGAACTGTTGGAAACCTCACTGATTCTCTCTCATCAGTAACACTATGTTCGACAAACATATGCTTTCCGGACAGTACTTCAGCTAATTCGTGGCATATCTGGTCAAACTGTGAGACAGGCAATGTTGCTTCCTCATCTATGATGCGAAGTACTCCTTCTTCAGTAACTGTTTCGAAAAAGCGGTACGCTGAAAAGTTTTCGCAGAAAAAGGATAAGCATTCTGTGAATTATAATAACACCTGATCCAAGCAAACAATAAGGAAATCTCTCATAAACCAAAATATAGTTCTAAATTACATATTTATACTCACAATTTAAAAATAAATGCTTACTATAAGCGGTTAAACAACCAGATAGTTCCATTGACGCTGGACTGAAACTTTTCGCTGGTTTCGCACCTATAATCACCTGATGACAGTATCAAGAAAAACTTGGAACACTTAACAAAAGAGAATAGAAATAGCAATAGACAAGAGATACTCTGCTTAGCAATTGAAATAATTTATCAGGGAAAGATTCTGTTTTAATTAATTATAGCGATAAACAAAGTTCACATAAGTCTTTTTTTTTCACTTTATTCAGCTCAACCAAGGAATTGACTTGCAAGCGATACAGTGAACAAACCAACGACAGAAAGACGCGGAAATATATATGCGGTCACAAGCTGAGGAAGTACATTCAACCTGTCTTCCGACCGAATATCACCAGATGTTCTAAGTGGTTGCGCACGTGATAGAAAAATATTATGTGCCACTTCGTGAGTGGTTAAATATTCTACACAGCGCATCACACTCCTAAAACCAAAATACCCTTCAAGAAAACCATTTAAATTGAAATTGTTATGCTATTCTCAAATCTTTCTTAGAAGTAACAAAACTATATTATTTTTAACATTTATGTTATAAATGTTAAAAAAAAATCCTTAAAATCACATCAATTTATGCAATGGAGAAAAATAGGTTTTTGTCATACAATAGGCAGCATAGATTATTTTTCAATTTACACACACGCGACGTACGTCACAAATTTTTCATAGTATTCCGGACCATCCAACTGAAAGACAATGGCATATGCAAACCATATTGGACGTTTGATAACATACATATTGTCGAATATGTGTTCACATCTCTATAAATATAGAACCTGATATAATCCTACAATTTAGCTTTCATTCTGCCCTTTCTATAGTGAACATATCCACTAACGATATTTCTCATTAACGAATGCAATGTCAGAAACAAAACTTACACGATTAATTAAATCGGAATCGTAAGGCCAAGTTAAAAGATGAAGATGTAGGTGATTTACAGATGCACATGCCAGAAGACTATTGAATAAAACATGAAAAGAATTATTTTTCGACAATAGCATTGTATCGGTTGCCAAACGGACAGCAGTTTCAGAAAGAACCTGTAGAACATAACTGTGATAATAAGTGATTGAATTTTAAAAACGTCTTCAAATGATCTTGAATTTTGGAAGAGAATTGTAAGACATTAAATGGTCATCAGCTTTTCAGAGGTCAAAAGCACAATAGTGATGGAGAGAGAACCTGAATATAGCGTTTTCTGTTAAGATTGTGCTTCAGCAACACGCAATAAATGAATAAATGACATTCATGAGAGTCTGGGTGGAAATTTAGGTTGTAGATATAATTGAAACGATCACTTTTCCAACATAATCAAGTGGAAGTTACCTGTGGTGTAGGATGATCGATATTTGGTAATAACAAGGAATGCCCTCTTATTAGCGGTGCAGCATTAACTGCAACAGCATGGTGACCTACTGAACTACCTTTCCGTCGTAAATAAAACAGTACCTCCAAATACCATAAATTTAAATCGATTCACAAGTAATTACTTATAAATCACTTATTTTCAATAATCACTTATTTTAGCCATTTTTTTATAAATTTTGCTTTTGGTAACAAATGTCTCATGAAATTCATCACGAAAAATTCAAATCTTTCAAAGGAATGAGTTTTTCATGATTTTTCATGGCTATAAAATGGATAAAAACTAACTTCTTTCTCCTTTAATTTCATGAAATTCCACCTTAAATTGCAAAAACATTCCTGCACTGCGCGAAAATGCGTTGGCTTGCGTCTCATTTCCCCGCGTTCAACATTCAGCTGAAATATATAATTTTGATAATCTACTTAATTATTTAGGATATGTGCGTGAAATCATTTAGACAATTTAGGTTGAAAAGTAAACAAAATGTGAGTTGAAAAGCAAAGCAAATTCTGATAACTTTATTAAGAGCAACATCTTAATAACTTCTAAACTGAAGTTTTGTCGAGTGTAATGACCCTAACCTGAACAGAAAGATTGAAATCTCCTTCAAGCAATTTGTACATAGTATTTAGTCCATAATTCAATAACTTGCATTTCTCAGCTTCTTCCCACTTAGCCAATAGCATATCCTCAAACTGCAAATAAAATCACTTGAAAAATATTAGCTTTCTGATCTATTGAAATATTTATCTCAAATTGAATTACGCTGCAAAAACTCAATAAAACAAAATGTATTTTTGAACAAAGTACGGTTTAAAACCATGATAACATTAAGATAACAAAATCTTTTTGCAAAATTCTTGATCCACTTCTGATGTTTGAAAAATATTCTATTTCTAGGCAAATATAATTAAGCGTGGTCTCTACCAACTAAGACTGATGTCAATGAATAAGAATTGAAAGATAGACTTCCGAACGGTTTTCATCATTATGAGGTCCGGGATTCCGTAGGTCAAAAATGAAATCTAATGCAGAATACGAAAACAATGGAACTGATGAAATGCACTTTTTACCAGCCAGTACCTGAAATTATGATTAACGCAATTAAATGGTTGTGAAGAACTAAAATAGAAATTACAACAAATCAATATTGAAAAAAATAATCTTGTTCCTTCAAATCGTAAAAATTACAATACTCTCAAACTTTTCCATAAACGTTTTTGTTCAATTTCTTGTTAACAGCAGTACACAATCCATTATAAAAATTCTAAGAGTACTGAAATTCTTAATAAATTCAAAGAATAGCAGCAAATTTCGAATCGTTGGATAAAATCGACTTATTAATAACAGACATAACTATAACTTCCAAATAAACCAGGAATACATAAGCTATTACTAGAAAAATTTTTTTAAGACATAAAGCAGAGAATCATTAAGATATTCACCTCAACTGCAGTTCGAGATGGCTGGGTTTTGGGTGATATACCAAGACTGACAACTTTATTATTCATACTTTCTTTTAAAAGCTTACCAAAGGCTGACTGGTTTACAGGTACACCAAAAGTTGCTACATTCAGTTATGCTAAAAAAATTTGAAAATGTAATATCAAATTGAAATTCCATTCAATCTCAGTTCAAGCAATTATGAAATCAATCAGCAAAGAAATACCAGGTAATATAGAAGTCAAGCGATTTGTATGAGCTACTTGTGTTACAACACATGCTAATCCTTTTACCAATAATGTCAATAATGACTAAGATTAGCAGTTAATAATAATAATAATAATTATAATTATTATTATTATTATTATTATAACTATTGTTATTATTATTAACAATAATGGAAAAGATTAATAACATTAACGACAATGATAGCAAGGAAGCGAATAACAATTACAAAAATAATGATCATACTGATTAAGCGTATAGATGATAATGATAATAACTACTAATCTTGTTTCATAAAAGTGAATACTTGAAAATAATTTGCCAAATGATGGCAAGCGATGCAGACCTGCAGTAGAATGTTTTAACACCTTCCAAGTACTACAAATGAGTCACCAATAAATCGAGACGTCTTAAAAACATGTAACAAGAAATCGTGCAAGAACTATTAGAAGAATGTCTCCCAAACAATCTGGGTGTTAGCATAGTACCAATCAGTCAACTGACTGATCTAATCAATCCTATCAAGTCAATAAGCCCTAGAAGCCTTAAAAAATGGCCCAACATTTCATCTAAGAATTGAAATCCCTCCTAGAAAACTACTGAATGGTTTCCTGTGTTTCACGGTTGCACGATGAGACGTGCTGGTTAAAATAAAGTGATTACAAAAGTCGGTCGCTATAGTACCTTTCTTTCGTGAGCATGTTTTTTGATAGTCTTTCCTTCCAGAAATCTGAATGTTATGGTATTTATGTAAAAAGTCACTGATTGCTCAGGAAACTTCTCGGTAACTTTTTGTGGATTAAAGTAAATTCATCACAGTAAGACAATTTATTCACAATCATATGTTTTATTTTCACGAGCGAGCATGTGTTATATCTTTGGGGGTGATTTCGAATTAAATCTCTTGTGAATCTAGTTTTTTATACGTATTTCCCTCGTGCTTTCTTATTTTATTAGCGTCTTTCTGAGTTAATTAAAGTTTTACCTTTATCTTTTTAACCTTTCTATTTCTTTTTTCAATAATTTATTTGCTGGTGAAGTTTAAATACCACTGCAAATATTCGCAAATGCTTATTATTGAATCAGTCATTTACGATTGTCCTAAATCATGGTATTTTGACAAACGTCTATTTTTAGATTCTTTCTGCTTTTATCACTTTGTTCTTATTCTTTGATGATATTGCTGTTTATTAAACATTTCAGAATTAGTATTGTAGTGGTTTCAAAAGTGACAATGACTTTGATTTGTTATTCACTGATTGCTGGAAGCCGAACGCACGCGTGCATTCTCCGTTGTGGTCATCCGATCCGTACAGGTTAAGAATATTCATAAGTAATTACGTTTTCTCATTATGGATCTATTTTGTTTGACTGTATCAAAGTGTTACATGAACGGTCTCCAGTCAAAAGTTAGGATTGAAAATTTTTCAAAACATAATTAAGCATGAAACATTTTAATTGCGTAGTTTTTAAGCTGCTATTGCATCAAGTACTGCAAAAGAACCAAGTACCTCAGTGGTTATAACAAATGTCCCAGAAAAAGTTGAGAAAATTGGATTCTTCAAGAAATTGGTTTACAGATTTAAAGGTCAGGATATTTATAAAATATTACTTATAGCCACGGAATAATTATGGAAGGTATAAGAAATATGTCTAGAGTTTCCGTGCGACTTAGAAATTAAGTATTGGGATAGAATGTTGCGTCTGTTCCATTTTTTTTTTTTTGGTTTATTTTATTTATTTAAAAGTTATGCTTTTTATTAATTATACATAAATTGAAGTCCTTTCAGGAATTCCGCTTAAAGATGAATCGCATGCGCCTATTTCTTTTATGAGAGATATTGGAAAGCAGTTTGTGCCACCACCTTTACCCGAATTACCGAAGGATTTTAAAGAATATCCTGAACGTGATTTGGTATGTTGTGAAGAAAAGTTATTGAAAATGTATCAACTTACTTTATCACTATTCATTGGCGTCAAGACCCATATTCAATTCACTGTATGCAGAAGTTTTATAGGTTTACGAAGCTACTTTTGTAGGTGAATTATCCGTATCCTGTGCAGCGTATGTATCCTCCCAAATTAAGGCTTCTAATCGTACCGGACAAGTTCATGAGCGCTTTCCATAAATACACAGGAACATCAGGTACATTATGGACTTTTTCAAAAATGCACCAACAAGTAATCTAGTTTCCTTACTTATTTGGTTAGTTTTAATCAGTTTGATTGAGAAATCAAAGATGTGATTCATTCCACCATCATTCGACGGAAGGCTGCCTGCTTTAAATGTTTTGTATAGCACAATCTCTCGACGGCGTGGTAACTATCTTTTTTCTATCTCTATACATTCTTTTTTACCTTTAGATTATTCGTGAGGCAAGGTTTTTATAGGCCCATATGTATTTTTCACCATGTTATATGCTTTTCTTCATTCGAAGGGTTTGTTCGAAATCGCTCACGACCGGATAAAAATAGTTGTTTTGCTCTTCTATTATTATATATTCTCAAGAGCTTTTGACTGTAAGTTTATGTTACTTTTCGGAAGGACACTGTATTTTTTAGCTTAAAAAAATAACTCAATTTATGTGCTTATTAATCTTACAAAAGGAAAATTTCTTCTATACTGATAGCTAAAATAAGAATTCACTTAAGTTGATATGCTTCATAATATTCTTTCTTGTTCTTTCTCTACTAATGCCAGTCTTCATTTAGCTACTCGCTAACTAGATTTTGCAAGAAATGAAAAGTGAATGCTATCAAGCATGTTTTTTTTTATACCTGTAGCTTGTACTCTGCAAAATTACTTTCTAGATCGACTGGATAAATACATTTATGAAAGACGCAAGCAACTTGAAAAGGATTATTTAGATATTGTTGATAATAACTTTAAAGAAGTTCGATATGCTCAAAAAGTGAGATTTCGTGTTTTTTATCAATACATTTTAATAAATATGTTAGGAATTGACTAGCATTGATAATTAATAAAAAATTTATTGATAGTGCTACCAAATTAATGTTAAATGCGTTCTGTTTCTCATTTATCCTCATTTATATTGAATTTCCCAGTTATAATTCGTGTTGCAGGAATCAAAAGCTGAAAAAGAAGCTTATTTGGCGATGAAGGAATACTATCCTACAATCTTCAAGGAAACTCTGGCTCTGCAGCTGGAAGCTACTTATCGGAAAAATGTGGAACGCCTAGCAACGGAAATGCAACATCGTCTGGATTATTTGCAGGAAACGGTCTCTGTAAAGCGAAGCTTTGCCCATAGCTATATGCTGAAATGGATAATCGACTCGGTATATTCCATCCTCATTATTTTTATTTCTATATGATTCGCACTTAGTGCTTTTGTAGTGGAGCGTTCTGTTGCGTGTGATATTCTTGTTTCTGATATATTCTAAAACAAATCCAGAATTGCATTACATGAGGTGGTAAAACGCCGCAGTATTTCGATAAAGGTCGTGTACAAAATTCAGGGCTATTTCATTGCAGGTGATGGCAGAAATATTATCCGATAAAGAGAATATTAAAGAAAGATATATGGAGAACTGTATTGAGCAGCTTAAATTGCTTTCTCCTCAAGGATAGTTGTTGTAATTTTGTGACAAAGACTGTGTCTACTTACAGCAAATGAGCATTAATGTGAGCTAATTACATAATGACAAATTTATATACATGTAGTTAGAAATATACATGGTTAATTTACTTCAGAAACTTTTTGGCGATCATTTTGCTTTGTCTTTTTCATAAATCGTCTCCCCTTTATACGTTATGCAGCTTATCATTATTGTAGTACGATCACTTGACACAGTCAGAAGCATGTACAAGCTCGGATAGGTTGTGTATAATGAAATATGTAATTAGATTCAAATCGAATTTTCAAATAGTAGTAAGGTCATCAATTGTTCTTCTGTATTCTTTGTTTGGCACAAAAGCTTCCCATCGAGATGCTGGATATATGTGCTTATTTTTCTCATACCAACTTCGCAGAACAACCTGAACATTTAAAAAATATGCTTTAAATCTGAGGTACCACCTACATATAGAATCATAAGTAGACGAGAAGAATGATACTAAAATTTTTTCATTGTGTTGTCTTACTCGTACAAAAACAGCTAATTAAAAGATTTGATTGTCTCTTCTTTAGTATTATGATGGTCATCAAATAATATTCAAAAATTTTTTATTTTTTTATTCAGTACTATAAATAGTAACATTCAAGCAGTACTTTGGCTGGATGCGATTCACCGCAATCTACTGCAGCATCCTGCCTTAATCGTATTTCTCCAGCAGCATCAAATTCATACAGCGGGCCTGTTTTTCCCATTGCTTTCGTAACTATGAAATCTTGGAAACTAAAATCGACGATATTAAGGCATCTTGCCATTTTTAAAATATTGGAAGTATTCGTGCAGTAACAGAGAAAAAATTCTAAAGGACATAATGAGATTAACTAACGTGTAGAAATGAGGTATGATAAGGTCTTCTTTGACAAACATTAGACTTTCTGGTACTGCAGCTCGAGTTTCACTGAATTCCTTTTTCAGCAACTACAAATATGGATTCGGATGAGAAGGCCTTGCTTGTTTGTAATTGACAAAAAATTAGCAAAAGAAGGAAACCTCTAATGCACGAGCAAGGAACTGTGATATTGTATTCCCTTTCTTCATTCTCAAGTCTTTCCGATGACTGGAACCATCCCAGTACACAAATGCAATGTTAATTTCCTCGTTTTTTTCTTTATCCTGCAACGCTTGCCATTCCTTTGCCAAATCTTCTTTTAATCTTCAAAGAATCTTACAAATGATTAAGTGAAGAACAAAAAGCGTGTCTCAAAGTGAAAAACAAAGAACGTGTCTCAATTTACCTAGCTAGCTCCTTTTCACGATCACAATCTGGTAAAAATGCCGTCTCTACTGTTGGATCCATTCCAACACGCTGAAGTGCAGTATTCATAAATTGGGATTACAATTTTATATATTTTAGTTAAAATATAAGACATCATAAAAATTCAGTTACAACAAACCTTCAAAACATACCTTCTTTTCTAATGGTACAGATAGTTCTTCCTCATCATCATTAAATGCAAATGAAAGGACTCGCTTCTGAAACTAAACTTATTTATATATGAACAATGTAGATAAATTTTACTACGCATGGAGTGATTCCAAAAATTACTAAGAAATTGGAGTCAAGTAATAGTTTATCGTGTCTAAAAACTTTGAAGATACCACAGTTAATCAGAAACATTAAAATGATGGAAGACTCTGACTTGTAAGAATTCGTTAGCCACAAGATTACAGAGTATACGAAAAAATTGAGAGTAGTCCTATTTTTGCTACTTACGCTCGCAATTTATTTACGATATTTAAACGATGTCAAAGAACGATATATTTCGACGGAAACTTACGTAACAGCTTTTGCTTTCATTAACTGTACCATGAGCTTTGTCTTTTGAACTTCCTTCAACAGCTATTTGTAATTCTCTACAAAAAGAAAGAAATCTGTAAATAAGTGCATAATTCCTCAGCAGTTGTTCTGAATCTTAATAATAACTGTTCAGCATAAAAATATCGCACCTAACGCGAATGACCATCAAGAAAAAAAAACCTAGCTTCAACCACGTCTCGTTGCTTCTCACGCATCTCGTCAAGTGTTACCAGGCCGATAGTGCTTGTCTTTAAAGAATCCTCTACAGCATCATAATTAGCTGTGAATTTTGTAGTTATGCCAGATTTTACTAAATTATGCAATAACTTATTTAAAATTATCAAGATCTTTCAATATTTTCTTTAAAAATAAAAATGAGACAATACATTCCCAAGATAAAGGCCTTAAAAAATAAACAGATCCTACAGCTCTTTGTTTCCTCTTCTAATTTTCTTCGTCTTTGTTCGATTGCTTCTTTGGCACGTTCACGCTTCTTGGCGATGTGTATCAGACGTCCCTCATCTGCCTTCGACATTTTCCCTACAAATAGTTTCTTAATTTTATGTTATTATTAGATGCGTTTGTCACACATCATTACCACTTTGAAACACTCAATATTTCTCAAAATACATGTAAACAAATGACCAGCCAAGATGTATAAAGAAAATAAGCTATCAAAAATATCAATAACACACTGATTTATCATGAAATTGCCAAGAAATTGGAGTTAAGTAGTCATAGCTTATCATTGTTATTAATCAGAACCTTGAAGATACCACAGTTAATGAGAAACATTGAAGTGATGGCGGACTATCAGCAGAATTACCATAGCTTAAGTCACAGATAACTCATATATATCTTTGCATTAGTAGCAACTAATTCAAGGAACCAATAAAATGACTCGAAAATATTCTGAACTTTTTCACATTATAATGAGTAACTTCAAGCATGGCTGCTTCTTAACTCCTAGCACTCTGATATAACCGCTGTCTCAATAGTATATTACGAATCCATTCATTGTATATTATGAGCTTGCAAACATCCCAAATTATTTACGACCTTTAAAATCCCGCCTTATTTTTATGAAATATACTTTTCCCAATCTTGATCTCGGAAACTCCTCTCAATTTCAAGCACATGTCGCGAAGTTCTTTTCGGCTACAAACTTTTTCCAAATATTAATGATGATTTTACAGTAGAACTAAAATGTGAGGAAATTAAAAACTGTTTACGCATTAAGAAGTCCTAACAAAGTTAAAGTTAAAGAATTACAAGTTCCATGACATGATCACATAACTGCAAGTTTCATGAACATGACCAACAAAATTTCGGAAGCACACATGTATCATTTCATCACATCTAACTCTGCATCTAGTTAAATTAAATATCAGCAAACCACAAACTCCTGCGAAAGTACTGAGGCAGTAGGAAAAACACGGAAAGCAAGAAATAAAAATAATTATTCTCCACTCTTTCCTTTTCGAAAAAATCTCAGCCCTAAATTCACTATTCTAATGCATTTCCAAAAAAAAATCATTTCAGAGTACTACTCAGACGGAATTAAGAATTGCAACGATATAAGAAACGCAATTATAAACAGTCAGACTGAACTTCTTGATTGATTATAGCTTAAATGTGATTTTAAATGAATAATAATATGAATAAAGAATCAAAGTGTTCTGCAAAGTAATCGAATTACGCATCTAAGTAAGTAGAACTTTGATAGAAAAAAGTACAGAGTGCATTAAGTCACACCAAATAGATGATTACATCTCCTAACATCATGAAAATAACTCCGAATATCAAAAAATTATTTCTCATTACGAAGAAGACTAGAAATTAATAGAACAATAAGAGCAGAAAAATCAAATCTAGAAGCACGTAAAACACTGAAATAGCCACCTGAGTGAATCATGGAACATTTCACAAATATGAACATCTGTAGGTAAACAATTGCAACAAAACAATAGCAATTAAAAAACCTGACACAACAAAGCAAGATATTAGTCGACAACACATAAAAAATAACTATGACAAACAAGAATTAGAGAGAGTGACTGTGAAGTACGAATACATGCTCTTAGTATACAAATTTCAAGAGGTACAGAATGTTACAGTGCAGAGCACTTCCACACTTTTTCAACTGCACTGCACACAGCCAGATTTTTGAAAATTTTATTCGAATTGCTGCAAAACAATATATTTAAAAAAAGAAGCCAAACTGTGAGTGAATAATATGGATTAATATTACCAAAAATTAATTGTAAAACTTAGTACAAAACATTTTTCAGGACAAACAATAAAAATAATAATCTACCACATGTTCATTCCTCGATTCAGTGTTTAGACTTACAATGTAAGTATGGATAAACACTTTTTGAACTTCTTCCTTGAAACATTAATAGTATAATTTACCTACAGAGAAAGGAAAGCAATCAAAAAACGTTTTAAACATTTCTACGTCCTGATCTAAATTAAAACAAAATTTAAAAAATTAATAGAGAAAAGAGTTAGCCAAAATTCTTAACCAAATTCACTTCAGCAATGAAACGATCGAATTTTTCCTTCATTACTACGAAGTACTGTAACTGAAAAAGAAAGATAAAACATATTTTTTAAATTTTTTGAGACACGTAATTATTTGCTCCATGAAACCAGTATCATAGTTACACCTAAGCAAAACAGATATCTTGAGGACTAACAAATATTCAATGAAAAAGACAAAAAAAATGATGTTGAAATGGTATGATAAGATTTTCTATGATTAAAAGTTAAATAAATTAACAACCTGTTTTGACAGAGATTCAAAACAGTCGGCAGGAAAATTGATGCTTTCATCTAATGCTTGCTGACAAAGACCAGCGAAATTACAAATTTCAAAATAAAATTCTCTTTCAGACTCCTAAATAATGTAAGAATCACAAAAATTTTCGAATATCACACTTAATGTAATATACTACGCCCTGTTCTTGTAAACGGTAAATAATTTTTATGCCCAACCATTTTATATTCTTTTCAACAGACTACTTCCAAAAACTTTTATAACAACAATTCAAATTCTCAGATTTATGCATCTCGTACTCATCTTGATTTTCATTATTCTACTTCCTGCGGTAAAAAAATAAATAAACAGTTTGTCTATTTATAACGATGTCAAACATTTCAATCTGTACTATATTAGTGAACAGTAAAGATCTGAAATCATAAGGAAGAAAATAAAAAGCATACTTTTAACAGAACAAAATCTCCTTGTCTAGTTTTTTTATGACTCAGTTTTGTTGAGTACATCTTTCCCTCTAAACATTTCTCGGCGCTTGCTGACTCATAAGAATCAGTGGCTGTGATAAATGCAATAAATCTATGTAAATTAAAGTTTGAAATCATTAGGATGTGAATAAAATTGAACAAAATAAACGAATAAAAATTAATAAATTTAGACAATCACTGTCTTTAAAGCATGAAACAGACGAATATGTAAACCTTTAGATAGCACGAGAACCTACCTTTCTCAATGTTCAATGGTGATGTAACTGAAAGAAATGACTGACGCGGAGAAACAACAATAACACTCTTACTAACAGCTTTCTCAATATTTCCATAATAAGAATTTGATAACAATTTTGTATGACTCTGAGTCTGCTCACTGAAATGTGGAGAGGTATTCACTGTTCCTGGTAACTTTCTCTGTAAACACAAAAATACTGCAAAAGTGCAGATTAATACAAGCCTCGGTACAAAAAAAATTTACAGATTCACATAAAACTAAGAAATTACGAAAAACGTTTGTCAGACCTACCACGTCTAACTTTGTCATGATTTTATTTCACCAAAAAATAAAATTTTTTTACCTACGACTTGTTGCTTCGAAGTTTTTTCAAATCACAATATAGAAGTTAACGTTTCACTATTACAGAGAAAATTATCAGTCTATTATTTATTTGTATTGAACCAAGTTATTCTAAGATATAGAAAAATATAAAGTTTTAAAAGTAATCTTCAAATTTTTTCATTCAATAGTATGAATTTTACTTTGAGGCTAGAGAACTTTTTGCTTCGCAAACAAAAACAGCTACCAAATGATTCTGTTGATATAACATCTGATTCCGATTTCGATGTCATGGTATCTTAAAATCATTAAAATGAGCTTCAAAAGTGAAATTAAGTAAGATGTTAGGCCTAAAAACAATGGGTATATGAAAGTGATACAGAGAATGTTGAATGAAAGCTAACTATTGCAAAGTTTATTTCGGTGATATGACAAAATAACTTAATAATATAAATAAATTTCAATTTAAATTTTTACCAATGAATGGATAAGGAATCGGTACACAATGATGGATGAGTAATGGAGCTTTCATTGATGGTTCATATTCCATTTTTGTGCGATAGTCTAATTTAACAGTCGTGGAACCATATTTTGTCTTTACCATTCCAACCAATATAGTTTTGAAGCCTATACCCAGATCAATATTTTGCTCACCTTCATATACCTAAAATCTCCAAATTCATACAAAAAAGCCACCCAAGATTTAAATTATAACTTTCTGAAATATTTTTCCAAAGCTCTAACACACTAAACCATGTTTTTTTTGACTTTTTCCGATGAAATTACTATGCACTATCTTCTCACAAACATTACTCTTATCAACATTTGCATTATTCAATTATCATAGAAATACAAAAAACGTTGCTCATCAAATGATAATGATAACATCAACGTTCATTATACTCAAGAGTGCTGTGTTATTACTAAAAATAAAAGCACTTACTCGATAAGTAATTACATATGTATCATCTGATTGGCTTTTTACATAGTAACGAAAAGCCGGAGTTGAGCGAGCGGCAGATATTATCGATTTCAATAATGTGCTCATATCCATAAGCATGAGTGTATGTGTTTTTAATGCTCCCAGTTCATCAGAATATTTCACTTCGAAATGCCTAATCACTTCAGATACAGATTCAAGCTACATGTGCATGAACCATAGTCAATTTTTATAAACCTTTGCTTTTCATTCTCGTTTTAGTAGAATTTCACTATGAATTGGTACAAGTATAATCTTAACAGTTTTCCTTTACTATAATCCGAACAATTTATAATGAGTGACAAATTACATAAGCTCAGCATTTAAGGATAAGAATGAATCAAGTACAAACCATGATTCAAGAGGGAGATCATAGCTGTCACACGTGTGCAGAATGAAGTCAATGTTTAATATTTCCGGTAAGAAAGGATAACTGAAAGTATTGGAGCACTTAAAAATGAGGTTACTCTAAATTTCTTACTTGTTTTTCTGAAAACAGCTATTTTGTTTTAATTTTTTTAATAATAATAAAATTTAAAAAAATTATTCGAGAATTATGAATTCTATCAACACTAATGTGACCTGGGAAAGTTGAGTCTTAGATAAGCTGATAATTCACCAACTTCATCAGTATCAAGACCGAGAGTGTGCACGGGAACTGGTCGACGAAACCCAAAAGTTCGAACACACTCTTTATCTCTTGACTGAACCAATGCATGTAAAGACCTGAAAAAATCCTGAAGATATCAATACGTTTGCAAATGAGTCAATAACTCGATAACGAGTCCAATTATCGAATAAATCATAACTGCAAGTATGCAAAACAATCTTTCTTTCCAGTGTTTTTTAAATATTTATCTTCAAATATCTAATATATTGATGAACTCGAAGACGAATCAGGTTTTGTTCCCTCTATCACATAAAAAGAAGGACCATTCAATCAAAAGATCTTCGATCTTCTGAACACAAATGCTTTAACCATAACAACTCAGTAATTTAATTTAAAGTGCTTAGCCGAACAAAAAACAAATAATTAACTAACTTATTAACGAGATGTCTATTGTAAATTTGAAACTCTTTCGCATTATCATCATTTCCGATTCTACATGATGCATTTTTCATCGAGCTGAGAAAATTAACAGCATGAAATGACCTAAACAGACGCAATTAAACATTCTTATCCATGGAAATAAAATCAATAAAACGTAATTTACGTGTTTTCTGTGAGGAGTTGGTTGATCATTTCTTCTTCTAAACATGCCACTTAACATGTTCTTTCCCAACTTCACCACACTATCAGAAATATTCAGAAAAAAAATTGCAGCTCTTTGTCCATCAGTACCTCTGAAAACAAATGGTGACTTTCAATAACACATGGTCTTTGCTTTCTGCATTCTCTCTGATTGGTTCTTCAATCCTTACTGCACTGCACAAAGCTCAGACCTTACTCTCGACGATTAATGGCCCTTGACCTCGTCAATAAATCATCATATAGATCAACTGTAGATCAATATCAAGGAATTCATGCATTTAGAATGAGATGGTTTATTTCATTATGACTCCTGTGATAACAACAGCAAACCGTGGGCTTTAAAGAGACGTTAATGTTTCTTAAATTATATACAAAAGTTGCTTGCCTCTGTAATTGTCTCGTGTGTGACCTATTACATAAGTTTTGAGAAAAAGCATGCTAATATTTTAGTTATTCATAATAATCTACTTAATTATGAACGTAGTTTACTTGTAGGAGTGTGCTTTCAAACTAGTTAATACCACGTAATTGTCAATATTACGTATAAAACTGTCAAATTTATTTTTAGCTCAACAATGACTACAGCACATCGTCCAACTTTCGAACCAGCACGTGGTGGATCTGGTAGAAATGAGGGCGATCTTTCCAAATTATCACAACAGTACTCAAGTAAGGATATGCCTTCACACACTAAACTAAAATATCGTCAAAAAGGACAAGGTCATTCTGATGATATCAGGTCAAAAGTAAGTTGTGATATGATTGTAGTTCAAATTATAATAGTGACGGTTAGATTATAACATGCATGAAGTCTCAAATCCAAGGGGTTAAAAAGTTTGCTTTCATTTTCTTCTTGTTGTCTTTTTTCTAGTTTGTCTTAAAACTCTTACGTATTCGTCTCTAATTTTTCGACTCCTTTATCAATTTCTGGTGTCTTCCCTCCCTTAATTTCTGTAATGTATAACCCTTTAATATTTTCCATGTATTCGAAAAACTGTTCCTGACACATGTCCTTATTGTCTCGAATAAATTAAATAAATTTGGAAACAAAGGCTGATTAAATTTCTTAGTGAGAGCTTGGGTTATTAGAAGTTAATTGTTATCAATCTGAAAATTATTCTTAGTCTGGAATATAATTGATTGAGAAGGACTTTGAAGTTTGTTTTTAGTGGGATGGGAATCTTTCTTCTCTTATCGTTGTTCTCTAATTTGAAGCTCATTATCTGACTATGTAATTTGTAATAACCTCACAAATTAGTGCTAGAATCTGTTTTAAATCTCTCAAGTACTGAACAAGGTAACTATTTTGAAAAATACTAAGATTTATTTACCACGCAATAACTAGTAGCTATTTAATTGAAGTAATTCATTTATTCATTTATAGTTCATATTGTATAATTTGGTTGCATTTTTCATGACTCAGCATATCATTCTATTACATGAAATTTGACATGAAATGACTAATTAGTTTAATTTGTAAATTAAATTGCAATTTATAGAATCAGTGTAGCGTAAATTCATTCTATCGCTGCCGATCTCTAAAATATTGAAGGAATCCATCAATCAGCTTTGCTAATTTTATATTCATTTTTGAAAATTTTGCAAAAATTGTAAATTTATTATTCAGGATTTACGACGTGAATTAGAAGAAAAGGAAAAGGCTGTTGGACGGGAGCGAAGAAGCCGAGGCAGTGGTTGGAATATGCAAAAAAAGCCAAGATTGGAGAGCTCGGCAACAAATGCTCAAGATGAAGACGAACCTTATGATGATGACCTTAATGAAGTGGATCTTATGTTTTATTAGAATTTATGTTCAGCTCGTGACTGACTTTATGGTCTGTTGCAGTTTGTGTTGTAAATTCTTTTTCGTGATTATTAGGTATTTAAACTAATATAGAATTCGGATTCCGATGAGGATGACACAGCAGAATTGATGGCAGAGTTGGCGCGCATTAGAAAAGAAAGGGCATTAAAAAAAGCTCAGCGTGATGCTGCTTTGGCTGAAGAGCAGGTAAAAGTTTGAGTACGAAATTGCTAGTGTCATTATTTTCTCATTTTTACATATATATATATATATTCAAAAAATATTATTTGCTCTTATTATTATCCTTAATCTTTTTCTTGTCTATGGAACTGTTACTTAAATAGCTATGGGTAAACTGTTACAGTAATCAATTTACCAAATATGGTGATAATTAAAGAACAGAAATTTGAGTATGTAAAAAGTTAGGACTACAAGTATATAAGTAACTTATGTACAGATTAAGAAAATATCAAACATTAGAAAAGTAAATGAAATAACTAGAAGTCAGTACTTGGAATTCTAGATTTTTTTTCCACTCTTCATCAATTTTTTACAGGAACGAATCAGAACTGAGCATATTCTGCACGGTAATCCCTTGCTCAATTCTGAATCTACTGACTTTAAGGTATTCTTTATGTGATTTACGAAATAGCGCTTTTTAACACATGCTAACTGTCGCCTTGTTCAGTGCTACAATTGTAATTATTATTGTATAACAGTAGATCAGTAAATTTCAGCCATTAGGGTAAAGTTTTCCTCAGTGCACGAATTAATTTCTGATCATAAATTTTTATTTTTTTAGGTGAAACGTCGTTGGGATGATGACGTAGTTTTCAAGAATTGCGCAAAAGATATAGAAGAACGTAAAAAGGAACAGGTCTTTATCAATGATGCTATCCGCTCCGAATTTCATAGAAAATTCATGGAGAAATACATCAAATGATCTCATAACAAAATTTTTCTGGAACAATGAAGTCTATACATTTTATTAATTTGTGTTGCCTGAAATATGACTGGAAAACAATTAGAAGTTTGATTAACTCATTCTTCGTAGTGTGTATATAACTCTGTTGTATTAGCATTGTCAGCGGTTCTTGTTTGTATTCTGTTATTTACATGAAAACATTGTATTTGAGAGGCACATAGTTATTGTTGTGTGGATAGCTGTAGGTAAACTGTTACAGGAATTTATTTATCAGCCACTAATGATAATTAAAGAACAGAGATTTGAATATGTAAAACGTTATCCCCAATGTAGGTATATAAGTGACTACTCATGGGATGGGAATCATATTTGAGGCATTGTATAAAGAAATGCATTTGAACTGCTTATGCTGGCATTTCCTGAGTGGTATCTTGTTCAAGGTCGTGCTTGGTGTGTCTTTAAAACTTAGAGGCAAATTTGCACCAGCTCAAATTAGTGAGTCCTTTCAATGACTTGGACCCTTACTTGGTGTATTGATTAACTGGGATACAAAAGCTTAGTGAGTAACGATTGTCAAAAATCGCAACATCTTTGCTGGCAAAATTTCCATTTAAAAAATTTTCATGAATAATTTATATCGAGAGAGGTAGTTTAAAAAGTGTTTGGGGACAGTAAATAGTGCTGGTTTCCCTATCCAACCAATATTGAAATTCCTTGAGATTTTATGTTTTTGTTTTCATGAGCGCGCGTCATCAGATTCGTTAAGCTTAAGTTGGTTACTAATCTCAAATATGGTGATTTTTGTGCACTATATTTCTGTTTAGGCTCCTCAGTCATGTAATGTAGTATAATTATTTGCTCGCAAGATAATTGCTTGAAATCAAGAAGGTCTGACCACAATCTTTAACTATACCGAAATATTCATTTAGCTCTCTGACGTGCAATAAAAGATAGGGGAGTGGAGCGTGAAGGGAGTGTGGATGTAGCGAATCAAACCTAAGTAAAGGTGTAGTATATTTCTACAAATTCAGATATGTCGGCTTCTCAGATATTCATTCAAAATACCGTTCGTAGAAAACCTGTGGCAACTACAGCAAGTAAAAGTGCAGTCATGCGTCCTGTAAGATATTTGACTCTTAAAATCGGTATTTGAAATTTAGTACAGCTGTAGAAAAATTAGTAGTCATGCAGCTTGTGGAAGAAGTTCTGAAGATCGTAAACTTTTGCTCCTTGTCTCGAATGCTATCACCATTTTCATTTACTTTGACTCTTTACGAAGTAAAAACTGGGAAAATCTGCAAATTAGCTTTGCCTCTGTAATCATTTGGCTTTATTTACGTATGCAACTTTTTCCTGCTTGAGACGTATTTCTTGAGATGTGTAAATACAAAAAAACAAAATAAATTATTTCAAATAATTACAAAGGAAATTAACTTAAACAGTTATTTAAGAGACACTGTATTTGGGCGGTAAATACTGTGGAAATACCCTGGACTTTGATTACAAAACTCGATTTATATGATATCGAATTGATAGAACAACGATGTCTAAATGCGGCATCATCTGATTTTATAACCGGTCTTAGCGTCTTGAAAGGGTTTGATTTCATTGCATACTTTTTAGGTAACATTTCAAACAGAAAGAAAGAAGAGTTTATTCAAATCATTAATTAAGAACTGGAACTTCAGCTCGGTCGTTCTGTAGTTATTAATTTTATTAAATTTGTAATGAAAATTAATCATTTGATTGTAGCAGTTTATATTTGCAGCATTTTCGGTTCAACTTACATGAAGTGGATGTCATGAAATCTACCAGTTCTAATAATCATTTGATAGATGAAAAAAGGATTTTATTTTAGACTTACTGAAGAATCAGAATTTCGAAGAAGAAATGAAAACTCAAATATAAGTTGGACTACTGTATATTATTTGTGTACTAGAAATTGTAGCAAATTTCAGGTTTGTTGTAAAATTAAGTCTACGTACTTTTAGGATTTTCATCAAAGCTTAATTTTAAGTTCAAGGATTAAGTATATTTTAATAAAATATCAAGCACTATCTCTTTTACTTTATGCTCCTCAATAAGGAATTGTTAGCTTAGATCAAAACTGTCGAAACTTTCACAACATAATAATTACAAACTTTTTAAGAAACTTAATATACCATTCATTATGAGCAATTTATTAATGTATGAAAGCACAATGACCAGAGAAGTGGCAGAAAATTACTATGATAGAAGCAGCAACCAAACTTCGTACTGTCCGGACATTACTGGTGCAATGCTGGTTAGGGATTATTTTCAGTTTTCTGTATGCAGAAATTTGTCACCAAAATCTACTTTACGGGCTCTGTCAATGAACTATGGACCTAAAGAATATCATATTAGTAGTTCGAATTTATAGTTTGAAAGATAAAACTTGTTTGATATAATTTTTTGCAAATATTGCTAGAGCAAAGTTAAATGATGGCATAGTACCTACTAGTCAGCTAACAGTTTGTGCTGAACGATCTTAAAAGTAGTGCTCGGAGCTTGTTCAGTATATTTGGAACAATTATCTGTGGACAAAGCTGCATACAATGTATTCTTTTGCACCTTTTCACTCAGCTAATTCAATACATTATGAACTGCTAATTTAGCGTCCGAGTACTTTGATGTGCATACGGTTTTCACTGAAATCATTGGGAAGCTTCATATATGCGGGACAGTTAACGCATCAATTTTTTGTTGACGTAAATACTTTAACTATTAAAACTTTATAGTGTACCATCATCGTTATCCTTATTGTCATTAATACAGTCAAGAAAACTTTAATACAATTCAATTGTTTTTTTCGTTTTCATGAAAAGAACATTTTGTAGAGCAAACCCATGAGTATGTGGCTATTCATAAAGTTTTATATGCAACTTTACAACATCTCAAATAAAAGAAATCCCATGGACTATTGCTTCACAAACTTGATGTGGAATGATTACAGCAAAATATGTTTTTGTGAGACTCTTAAGAAGTCTTGCCTATACATGAATTTGGAAGAAGTAGATTATAAACTACGAAGAAAAAGTTGGGAGAAAAACTTCCTTGCATCTGCACACTTTTTTGAAACAACATTAGAAGACAGATACCGATCTGCTTCGTCTTCTCTTATACCTTATCCCAACTATTTGATCAGTGAAACGAATATGGGCAAGTATATAATGACTTTGCATTTTGTGTTGCTTGAAGGGCATATATGTTTTGGTAGTAGTAGTTTGTATAGTATCAAAATTATTATAATTTGCTCGCAGAACTGAGTTAGAACTTCTTTGTGTGAAAATTTTGAAGGGAAAATGCATATTTGAATATCAAAATTTTCATAACACTGATTACAATGATAGTAGTAGTAGTGACATAAATTATCAGTCTCAGTCTTATCATTGTATTTCATATTAGGCTTTCTTTTTCGCGAAACAAAGTTTCGAGCAGTATTGTGAAACTGTCTAAATTTACTGACAGAGAGATTGAATTCATTTCAAGCACTGATATTCTGAGAACTCAGTACTGACACTATTCATCTGAATCTTAATTTCAGTAGTAACGGTTGATAAGCAGAAGTAAGTTCTTCTCAACTGTTATGTTTGTATATGCTGTTAGCGTGATATTGCTGCTTTGCTAAAAATTTTCTCATATTTTAAAAAACTTTTGATTCAATTTTGTATTCGACGCAGCTTATCTACCTTATTTATAACTGCAACAGAAGGAACCATTCGATCTTACCAACTTGACTGTGCAGTTGGTGGTTTCTGGTATGAAAATATGCACTATCATAATTTTCTCATTAATGAAGTGGATTCTGAAGAATTCGTCTGCTATAACATAACTGAATTTGAATTTGATGTATCAGAAAAATTTGACTCATCAACAGTGTAAGTTTGAAATTACCACTCGTGATTTTTTTTTAACTTTCGAAGGAGTAGGTGGTAGAATATTAAAAATTGTAAGAAATAAAGTTTATTAAAAAGTGGAAATTGTGACTGCTAACAAAAATAAAAATAAAAAGTTAAATTTGATTAACTCGTTTGCAAGAAAATATGAGTATTATATAAGTAATTGATTTATCGTTCCATAGTGCTGTGAAACTTCATGATTTGTCTGCAAAAACCTTTCCGTTTATAAATTCGGAATAGATCTGAAAGGTTTTCCACCGTACATATTTGAAATGTGCGCAGTGTAAACTTCTTGGCATTATCTAGTGTATTATCATGAATGAAGTAAATTGTAAATCAAGCAAAGTCTTCTTGATTATTTTTATTTCAGAGTGAAATTCACGCATTTGAAGCATAGTTATTCACTCTCGTTCGCAGATAAAGTGAAAAATGAAGCATGTTTCTTGGTATCAAGCTGTAGAAGTAATTATAAAAGGAAAATAGAAATCATATGTGCATGTAATGATAACTCTTTATGTAATCACTGGGATCGTGATTACGCATTATGGATGAAGGAAAAATTTGCATATCATCAGAATTTAACGCTACTTGATGATTTTGTTTGGTTGTATTTCAACCAATTCCAAGTCAATTATTTATATTCTCTTTATTCCATAGATGGAAATAGATTGCCAGCTATCTATCCTCAACATACAGTATTCTTCTCTATGTCAAAACACAGGTATTAAATGTAGTATTCAGTATTAACTAATCTTTGCTGTTGCTTTTTGGTAATTTTTATAAATTATCTGTATGGCTTTAATTCGAAATTTTTAAATAGAGAGGGATAAAATTCAGAGAATTCACAAGTAAAAAAGGCTGTCATTGTGAATCCACGTTAATTTATTATTTTCACGCATGTCCGAAAATTTACCAGTTAGTTCAATGGAAAATACTATGCGGTTCGTCGAGTAAAGTAAGTGATAAGTAGTCACTTTTTTGCTGAAATTTACGTACTCTAAAATAGACAAATATTTATTTGTTCACAGTTGTTATTTGTCGGATAAGATTAGCTGAAAATAACTAACTGTCACAAATGAAATTTTTTTGCAAAGAGCT